GCTAATGCCGATAATTGAAATTGGTTCACATGAACTTCATCCATTCAAATCCATGTCTCTGCTAGATTATACACAAATGGTTTTATGATCAATGAATTTCCCCATAAAACTAGGAGGAATTATATTTTTAATCAGATTATAATCCAGGTTGCTGCCTTTTCTTCTTTCTACTACTTGGCATTAAAAGGAAGAAAGACCTGATTTTGACTTCCAAGGTTTCATCTGATATCAAATGAAGGAGATGCCCACTGAAATATTCAATGGCAAACACAAAGGGAGGAAGGGTTTTGGAAGTTTGTTCACTAAGTTTAGTTGCTTTTTATTTTTACTTTTGAGGGCCCGCCACCCAGCTCTCAAATAAATTCACCAAGACCTATTCTTATAAATGCCCAGCCTTATCTTGGCTTGTTCATAGCCAGTTTTTCTTAAGTTATCCCACCCTCCTTTTGCCTCTGGGCTTTACCTTTCTGTAGTCTATATACTTTTCTTTCCTTCTCACTCTGTGGCTGGTTGTGTGGCTGGGTGCCTGGCCCCTGGTATCCTCCTCTCCTCCATTTTTCACTTGCTCCCTCTTCTCTATTTTTCTCCTTCCATTTATTCTCTCTACCTACCAGCCCTACCTATTTCTCCTGCCTAGCCATTGACCATTCAGCTCTTTATTAGACCAATTAGGTGTTCAGGACAGGCACAGTAACACAACTCCACAGAGTTCAACAAATGCAATACAAAAGAATGTAACACATCTTTGCAACATTAAACAAATATTCCACAGTATAAAAGAATGTAACACACCTTAAGCTAATAGTCCACAGCACTATGTTCCTTAAGCAAATGTGGGCAAATGTTATAGTTTCTTTTCATGGATCATGTGTAGCACCAGAATGGAAAGAAACTTCTTGCTTGGCATCAATGTGGATTTTTCCCATGAAATAAAATTTTGTAATGTAACACATGTCTTATTCTTCACAATTAAGTCACTGGGCAAATTATTCAGCAACCAGCCTACCTTCTGTTCACACTGATGCTACCTACAAATTCTTTTTCACAGCAGCAAATACTTTGTTATATGTCAATTATTTTTAAAGTTAAAATTCTTTCTAATGCCAGTGTCAGCTCCAAAAAGGAAAGTGTTATCTACTATTGATAAAAAATTGTAATTTTGTTAATTCAAAGTTAATACCCAGAAGTAATTTTTATAACCTCACCCCGAGTTTACTTAACTTAAAAAAATGACAAAAATCATTAAATGGGTTAGTTTTTAAATTGTTTGGGATTATAAGAACCAGCATGGTCATCTGAGGCTTTTCATCTTTACACATTTTTCTCTGTTAAAATATGTAAACACAAAATGTGCTTATCCCAGTTGATTTAAATATTGGCTGTAATACAAACTGAAAGCAAAATAAGTCCCTATGTTGTGATGCATCAGTAACACTGTGAAAAACTAACACAAAAAGCCAACTTCAAAATTTTGTTTTGTTTAGACATTTAGAAAATAGTAATCAAAGACAGTCATCAATCTCATTATCAGGGGAGGGAATTTAAGGTAGCCTCTCCTCTGTTGCTTAGATTGTTAGTTGGTGTCATCTTTGTAGATCTCCAGACCTTTCCCTAGTGCCTGATTTCTCTGTAAAACTAAAATGTCTCCCTCTATTATGGTATCTCCTTTCTTGTTTTCTTCTATTCTTCCCCCAACTCAACCTTCCTGTTCCCTCATGTCCTCCTCACCTCTCCTCTTCTCCCCTTCTCATTCTCCTAGCTCCCTCCCCTGGCCTCCCTTGCTCCCAGTTTGCTCAGGGGGATCCTGACCCTTTCCCCTTCTCCAGGGGACCATGTATGTCTCTCTTAGGGTCCTCTTGTTTACTAGCTTCTCTGGCAGTGTGGATTGTAGGCTGGTAATCCTTTACTCTATGTCTAAAATCCACATATGAGTGAATACATACCACATTTGTCTTTTTGTGATTGGGTTACCACACTCATAATGGTTTCTTCTCGTTCCGTCCATTTTCCTGCAAATTTAGCTTTCATCCAGCACCTTGTGGTAGTAGAAGCAGACACTCACAGCTAATCACTGAAGTGAACTGGAATCCAGTTGCAGAAAAGAATGACTGATGAGCAAAGGGGTCCAGACCAGGCTGGTGAAACCCACAGAAACAGCTGACTTGAACAACGGGGAGCTCTTGGTCCCCAGACTGATAGCTCGGATACCAGCAAGGGACTGATCCAGGCCTCGGGAATGTGGGTTTCAATGAGGAGACCTCGGAAATCTACTGAACCTCCTGTAGTCATTCAGTACTTATCCCTAGCATAGGTGTGGACTTTAGGAGCCCAATCCACATAGAGGGATACTCCCTGAGCCATGACACATGGGGTTGGGCCTAGGCCCTATCCCAAAGGATATGATAGACTCTGATGACCCCCTATGGAAGGCCTCACCCTCCTGAGGAATGAAAAGGATATGTGATAAGATAGGGTTTTAGTGGGAGAGGTGAAAGGGGAGGAGGAGAGGGAGAGGGAAATGAGAGTGACGTGTAAAACAATCTTGTTTCTAATTCAAATAAAAAAAGATGAAAAAAGAAAATAGTAATCAAATCAAAGGAGAAGCACCGTAAAGTAAAATACAATCAGGATTATGTACTTTGTTTATAAATTTATTTTTAATCACACACACAAAGGGTAGTCAAAGCGAGTTTGTTGTCAATAAATAGTACAGGGTGAATTCAGTAAAGAAATAGTATTTGGATGCACTACACCATAATGCTCTGATAAATAGATTATCTTTAATGTTTTTTCATAAAGAAGGTCAATGTACAATATATGTATATACATATATATGCATATATAGTTATGGATATTCATAGTAAACTTTGCACAGTCTTGTCACTCGCTATAAAGGGATGATGTTAGAAATTGTAAAGAAACAGTTACATTTTATTTTTGGCTAATAAAAACAATCACAAAAGCTGAACATCATTTAGCGTTGTCAGAAAAAGCACAGGGCATTTGTATTGTTAGGGGTCAACCCCCTTCTAATGTCTCTCAACTGAGAGGACTGTGCCTGATGTCAGGTACCAGAACCCATTCATACCATATACCTTAGAAACCCTGTGTGGAAAGTACACAGGAATGTGTGTGATAGGAGGGTGTTTTCATCTAGTCTCATTTATCTTAAAAATCAATTCACTTGTAGTCATTTGTTAAATATAATTGCTTGTGAACTATGTCATAATTAATTTCCACACACAAACAATCGAGAAAAATGGACAAACTTAGATGCTTTATTCTAGTTCAGGCACTGAGTTGAATGTAGCTTTCACAGAGGCTCTGTGGGCTGGGACAGCAGCATCCTGGTTGGGATGCAGCTGGAGGGTTGGCTGTCCTCTGGGGACACTTGCTGATCCTTTCTAAGAGCAGAGAGGCCATGCTGCCTTATTGGTCATTACAGTGTTTCTACATCTGGTTCATGTGGGAATCACACTAGCTGCATGTCAAATGTAGATTGCTGGACTAAGACAGATCTCTGAAGTGCTCTTGCAGCTTGCTTTTGCCTTCACACAGACCAGTGGTTTGGCCAGTTTGGGAATCCGGTATTAAAGGTGGTTCCCCACCCACTCTCATTCTCTCCCATGTTCACCGAGTTGCTTCAATATACTTGGTACCTGGACCAGTACTAGAACTGCATATGAATAACAGAGTCCTGCCTCATTAGTAATCTAGAGTTTGTAGTCATCTGCCTGAGGAAACTTGGAGGTTCAGTGGCCTTTCCAAGTAGTTACCTTTGATTGCAGGGTACACGTACCCTGATGTTTCACGCTGAGGTCTGGAATGCAGTGTCAGGTTCAGGGAAGTTTAGAATAGAGTGGACACCATTGCACAGTCTTGGTATGGTTCTGCTTTCTTAGTAGCCACTGCTTATATATTTGCTTTTTGTTGTTTCTTTTTGACATTTTCTCCATCTCTTTTATAAGATTCTCAAGCAGTGATTTGGTTACTGAATTATGACTGTGGTCTTTTACAACATAATTAAAAATAACTATGAGGTTGTTGCTATGGGAGATAATTTTATTGACTATATTTTATAATTAATTATATATCGATATAGTCAAGTGTCATTAATTAGTCTAATTATAAAATGTAATTACTAGAATAGTCATGGCGGTTTACTGCTCTTTAATAGGCAGGGGTTGGAATTTCATTTGATCTCAGTGATTACTCCAGTCCCTTCCTTGTAGAATATTCTCCCTCTCTTCATGGAGATATTAGATTTGGTTGGCTGGTTGTGGAGCATCAGCTACTTAGGTAACAAATAAAATGTCCCACAGTCAGCCTTTTGAGGAATAGATTAAGAACAACAAAGTATAAAGGATAAGAGGGTTCCAAATCACTGTCCTCAGGTAGCATCACTTATATTTCTGACTGCTTAACAAGGCGTGGCAATTTACAATGAATAGGGTAGTGAGAAAGCACGGTAGTAGCATATTTTAATGATCTTTGAAAATACCAAAAGGTCTGTGGATTTTCAGGCTGTTCTTTTGGGATCTATCTGCTTTAGGAGGAACTAATATATAACAAGCTTTTATTTTGAAAATGAAAGTAGGGTTAGGGAAAGCTATGAGACTACAGTACCAGGAAATCAAATATTAAATGCTGTCATGTTTAGAAGTATTGGCTCCAGGATATGAAAGTAAACAAACTTATCAACAGATTATGACTAGCTATATAATAAAAACTAGTGAAAACTACCCCTCTGTATAACTAACTTTTGGTTTCTGCATTTTTTAGCTGGCTTAGATACTAGGAAATGCACTCTGGAAAGTGCATGTGGTGTGTTTATTGGCGTTATCATGCAGCCATTCTCCTTGGAAAAAATCAGTTTGGTATAACTGTACACTACGGTTTATCTTGGGCTAGTTATGCTAAATTGCACTCATTTGCTGCACGTGGACAGACGTCTTGTCATGAGAACTAAGCCTTCTCCTTTTACCCCCACTGTGTTACAGAGACCCTGGAAACCCTCATCCGCCAAGCAGAGAATTACACCAGTATCCTTTTTTGCAACACCTACCGGAACATGGCCTTGGAGGCTGCTGCTTCTATCCAGGAGTTTTTCACCGATGTAGGGCTCTATTTATTTGGAGCAGATGTTAATCCTGAAGAATTTGTAAACAGATTTTTTGACAGTCTTTTCCCTCTGGTCTACAACCATCTCATAAATCCTGGTGTGACTGACAGTTCTCTGCAATACTCAGAATGCATCCGAATGGCCCGCCAGGATGTTAGTCCGTTTGGCAATATTCCCAAAAGAGTCATGGGGCAGATGGGGAGGTCCCTGCTGCCCAGCCGCACATTTCTGCAGGCCCTTAACCTGGGCATTGAAGTCATCAATACCACGGACCATATGCACTTCTCCAAGGACTGCAGTCGAGCCCTCTTGAGGATGCAGTATTGCCCGCACTGCCAGAGCCTGACGCTCAGTAAGCCCTGTATGGGGTACTGCCTCAATGTGGTCAGGGGCTGCCTGGCTCACATGGCCGAGCTTAATCCACACTGGCACGCTTACATTCGGTCCTTGGAAGAGCTGTCCGAGGCAATGCATGGGACCTATGACGTAGAGCACGTGCTGCTGAACTTCCACTTGCTGGTCAATGACGCGGTACTGCAGGCGCACCTCAATGCGCAGAAGCTCCTGGACCAGGTGAGCAGCTCTTCTGTGCTCCCCCCCCACCCCTAGCTCATTTCCTAGAAAGCAATGACCAGTCAGGACACACCCAAAATTATGTGAAAAGTATTGTCATTTGCATCACGTTTTTATGAGCACAGTGAATTTATTCTCTAAGAAACGGTGGTGAGATGAATGGATAGACACGTTTGATTCCAAGTAATCTCATTATATCTATTTTACAACAAAAATTTGATCAGCTAAAATAACACTTTCCCCATCGAGCAGACAGTTTCAATATTGGTTTGGTTTAAATCAAGAACAACATCAATTTGTTCCCACATGTACATTTAACTAGCAACATGAAATGAGGTAGGGTTTTTAAGTTTCTGGACCCTGATATCCTCATTGCTTGGAAGACAGCCCTGCAGATCTCTTCTGCGGCATCCCTTTTTGAGAAGGTGTTATTTATGCAAACTGTCTACCTAGCACCGTTTATAAGAAGATGGGCTGCCACTGATGGGCGGCTGTTGTTAGGGGCTTGGGTGTCCTAGCTTTAGAAAGGGAAAAGATTGCTTTTGTATCCATGAAGTTAAGACTTGGTACCTCGTTGTGCACAAGCATTCCTCGGGATTTTGACAAAGTGATGGAGTGACAGTTTGTCAGAACACGAACTGTACATTCTCTTGTTTTATTTCTAGCAAAATAAGAATGTTTGGAACAAAACACCATCAAACAAGGGATGTAAGAATTTTCCCTTTCTTCGGCTCCCTGTAGAGCTATTTAAACATATTCTGAGTCTCCTTCAGTAAAGTGTCTCATGTTTTGCAGAATGAAGTAGGATGTGCTGTGACTGCTTCTTCTTCATCCTTTCTCCTGAAATAAAATGAATATTCTCTGGTACCCAGACAATCCATCTTCCCATACTGACATTGATTTACTGACTTAACAAATATTCTCATCACGAGGTCTGAATGCCAACTCTTCATTTCTGGTAGAAGGTGGACGTGAAAAGTTTGTGTTTAACCACCACCTTCCACTTTTTTTGTTTGTTTGTTTGTTTTTTGTTTTTGTTTTTGTTTCTCCCCCCCCCCCCCCCCGTGGATTTTGCCAGCTGCTTTGATGCCTTTAGAAAATTAGAAATATCGCCCTCTGGTGGCAGTGTTATCAGCATGTGGTATTCACTGGATTTCAACTCCCCAGATTGTGTTCTGCCAATATCCCTATCCAACGAACACTTTCATTTTGCCATTTTGCAGTTAATGTTAAAAACAATGGGTTTCATAATTCATTATTGTATTTTCGTGTGTGTGTGTGTGTGTGTGTGTGTGTGTGTGTGTGTGTGTGTGAGAGA